TCACAGCTGTGTCTTCAAGCCTTATCGCCGTCAATTTATCTCGAATGTATTCCTTTTGTTCCAGCACAGCGAACTCTACCCACAGGGTTGCATATGTACTACCTACCTATACATACGCGCGCAGATCATCTCCGTGTAGCAATCGTTTTCATCTTACGCTTTATCCAAAGTTGCTGCCTTCTTTATATGCTCTCATATGGTATATGTGATTTTTTATTGTTTGCCGCCATTAAAAATATAAAAATTTGATTTACAACATTTTTTCCACACACAAGCCATTGGTCACTCTAACGCCGTGAATTAATGCGTGCCACGCCTGTTGCGCCGAACAAGCATACACGTTTGTAGATTGTCTTCTCCACGCCTCATCGCAGCTAATCTTGATGCATCAGCGAAGCTGTGACCTTTAAAATGGTCAGTCATAAGCGTCACTCGCCTACAAGCGCTAGGCAAATAACTACCGGCTACGCTGACAGAGCATCAGAACATTATGAATATCTATTATAAAGTGTAAAAAACAAAGATCTCATAGCTAGCTGGTTCTCGAAGTTATTTGCTCCAACGCGAAAGGGGGGAAACAAGTATTTAATTTTTGACAGGCAGCACGAGAAAAATAGAAATGAAGGTTATAATTAAATATAAAAATGCCCGCGGTTGGTACATGCGCGCTCGCGCTTTTCTTCGCTTGTTCGGGCATTTTGTTAGAAACAAAAGACTTAAGCGACGAACGCGCGTTCATTTTGTAGCACAAAAGCGAGCTAAGAATCCAAGCTATGCTGGCGCAGCCATTCGCCAGTGGTCAACAGGCACACACACACACACTAGCACACATAAATACACGGTACATGTTGTTTTGTTTGCTTGTTGCGCTGTTGTTGTTTGTTTTTTCCTTGCGACGTCAAACACTTCAGCCAAGCATTCGAGCCGTCTGTCGGCCAAGCAGCGACTCAGGCGACTGGCACTCGATCGTGCTGATTGATGACCGACAAGATTCGAATGTTAGTTCACTTCGCTTCGCTTTGACTCGTTTCTCGCTTTTCCTTCTATAATTTTTCGATTCTTTTATTATTATTTTTTTATTATTTTTTTTTTATTTTTGACACAAAAACATTATAAACGCTTGTCTGTGGATATTTCCATGGCTGTGTGTGCCTACTAGTTTATGTACTGTTGCGTGTGTCTGCGTGTGTGTGCGGTTTTATTTGCTTACCTCGCCTGCGGTCACAGCCTGCTCGCCGCGTCCCATCGCCTTTTCGAGCGTTTGTTTGCTTTTGACGTGCAAATTAATGCTTTTCAAAAAGAAATCACAACTATTTTAATAACAGCGCATGCAAATAACCGCACACACACACACGCAAGTTTTATAGGCATGCTTTTTCAAACCACATGTGCCAGTCACACATTCGCGGCACATTGCTCGGCTTGTCGTGGAAAGCTTTGCCAGCCGTCTAACAAGTATTCACTTACATAAGTATTTTATTGCACACAATTGTACGCGTATGTATTTTCACTTAAATCTTGCTGATACGCGACAGCAAACCAGCGTTAGAGCCGCTACGTCGAGCCACAGCCGGTGGAGGCACACAGGCAATTAGCGCGGTTGCCACGGAGGAAAAGCTCAGATTTCGATTGCTGTGGCATTCCACAGCTGATAACACGCAAATCACGGTATACGGATATAGCCGTACAATAACAACAATGACATTGATTGGTATCTGTGGAATTCACCAGAAACTTTCTAAAGCATTTGCAAGTCATTTCGCTAACATGCACACATACAAATTTACATCTATAAAAAGAAGCGATGAGTTGGCAAATTCATGAAGAGGCTATGGAAATCTGCTTGTCGATATGCACGTACATGTCAAACTCAATAAAAAAGAGTTTAAAAACTCCGGTTTGGCTTTCATTGGAGTGAAAGGTGTTCTCCTGCATTTTAGACAAATTTTATTAAATATTTCCAAAGCCAACTTTTTACTTGAATCGTGTTTTTAAACAAATTTTTAAATAAGTATTTGAACACCTATTACATTTTTGAGTTTTTGCGACATCTAATACTCAATAATTTAGTAGAAAATCGTTATCCAAATCTTCTTTATCTGTCTTCTATCCAAATATTATCATCTCCTAACTCATCAATCAGTGAGAAGCTGACATTTAAGTATTTCTGCCACAACTGGCTTGTGTAAAACCATTTTCCACTGCATATGCCACAACAGCAACATCCGCGGCTGCAAAACAAATCTTCACAATAGTCTCTTGCAATACTGCACGTTCGCTACCAACAAAGCAGCGCATCTTCCCAACACCCCACTCAAATTTGTATGCTAAGTTTCCCTCCTTCACTTCAAACCCAATCGCCTCAGCCAGTTACCAGCAGCAGCAACACTAACAACAACGGCCAGTTACTTAAATTACAGTATGCCAACAATAATTTGCGCAGCCATTGTTGTTGTACCATAACTTTGGTGTTTTATGTTTCACTTCTTGTTTGTTGTCTCGAAAGCGATTACCCCCCTGCACCCGCGTTGTATGAAGCCGGTTTGTAGAGTTAGCTTAGCCGCACAGTTCTCGGTTTCAACAGCTGTATATGAATGTGTATAAATTTGTTGTTGCCGTTTGTTTTGTTCATTGTTGTTGCGTTCTTTTCATGTTTCTCTTCATTTTGGCTTATTTGCACTTTATTGCCTCGTTCAGGTGTGAGTTCTTTTCGCTGTTTTGCTGTTGTTATTGCGGTTGTTTGTTGCCTTTCGTGGAATCGTCTCAGTTATCGTTTGCTGGCTGTTAACTATTTTGCTGCTGGCTTTTGGAATTCGCCGTTTTCATAAACCTTTCGAAAGTTCTTTATTTTACTTTTGTAGCGACTAAATGTTGTTGCTGTTTTATGTTTTTGGCGACAGTCAACCATTTAGTAGATCTAGTTGTTAGTTTTATAGTTGCTGAAAACGTTTATACTTTAGTTATTTCCGGGTTCCTTAATGCTTTGGTTCTTTCTGTTCTATATGGTTCCGTCGATTATTTAGCTTTGAGTAATTTAGGAAACTTAATAGATTTAGGCCTATAAATAAATAAACATTTTTAAATTTATTTTATTATAATAATGCTTTTCAACCTTGGTAGACCAAGCATATCCATCGAGAATTTTTCGAAACAAACCACTTTATAATAAAAATCATTAAGTATAGATAAAATAGATAGATAATGATATTGAGGTAATGCACCGCGACCTAGGGTCTATTGTGCCCTCTCCTATATCACATGACCTCCCAGAGCCGCAGCAGCCTGAATAGTTCCAGGAGTTTGTCGGGCGCTAGTGAGGTGATGTGATTCCTGCTGATGTAGACAGAATCCAGGGCCTTGAGTCTTTTTGCACAGATTGCTGTGCAATCTAGGATTAGGTGTGCCTTAAGTATATAAGCTTTTCAGACAGTATCCTTTTAGCTGAATTGAATGCAACCCAATAAAATGAGCAATTTTCTGAAATTAGTGAGCTGTCTGTAGGTTTTATTAGCCAGTCGTTGGTGTGAAACTTAGATTTTATCAGAGACACACACCTTTCGATAAGAAAAAGTTCAACAAAAATTAATTATTTTTCAATTATCAAAGAATTAATAAAAACAACAACTCTTAGCCTTCTAATTAGTATATAATCTTAGAAGACATAGAAACCTTTGATATTTACAAGAAATAACATCGAAAATCACACGACCAGAGAACCAGCATGAAAATATCAAGCTATTCTCACTTATTGCAACATGAAAATACTCTCATTCAGCGCCATAACCAAATTCCTCTGCACGCCACTACTTAAACGCCAAACTTAGAATTACCATTTACCGTTAGAAGTGCTTGCACTTTAAAGCCATGAATCTCAACATGGCATATTGGCTCGCTGCCACCTGAAAAGTTAAAACATATAGCTGGCCATTTACTAAAAACACAGCACAACAAGCAGAACAATAACAACTGAAGCACTAAATAGCGTCGCGCAGCTCGTGTTGGCGTGCACATGACGCTGCTTGTGGCTTGGTGTGGTGACGTAGTCGTTGCCAACGTAGTCGTCGTCGACGCTAAACGGAGCGTGAATGCGGAGCTTATGACGCATTAGCTTGACGCGCTAGCTGCTCAGCTCTAAGTGGCTCAGAACATGCGGCGAACTGTGAGCTGCCATATTGTATGCAGCGCTCAATGCTCAAATGCTCGCCGCGTTCCAAGTAATCCGCTGTACAAACTTGGCTAACCAGTTGGTGCGCGCTGCGCTCTGTCTCTCCACTGCACGCTGTCATAAAGCGCACAAAATGTTGAAGTGTTTGTATGCGTGTGTGTGTTGGACTAACAACTGTGCTCTTTAATATTTAGTACTAAAAAGTAAATTATTATATTATAATAGTCTCACCACAGCAGCACGTTGGCGCCTGCAAACGCTTGTCTCAGACAAATAAGTCTACTTATGTAACTAAACTATGACGTAGGATTGTGCTTTGTCTTAAACTAGCGCGATTCTTTATTTTTATATATGTAAGCATATTAATTTTATTTATTTGGAAATTATGAACATACACATACAAATGTGTCAGTGGTGGTGACCGGCGATAGTGTTGTTGCCTGTTTTATTTACCCTGCAGCGCCTAATATGGGCATAGCTTGTCTAACAATAGTTGATCTTCGACTTGGACAACTTTGTTGGCAATTATATGTGAATGCATGAGCACTTTTGTAATAAACTACAAATATATGTTTTAATTCGCATTCGCTTCTGAGGAAACGCTCGCGCCAAATAAGGCATTTTCCAGCGTTTATTTTTGCATGCTTTTCCTTTTCAACGTTTACCAAAATTGTTTTCTCAGTCAGCTGCTTCAGCGTGTATGAAAAACTGAAGCTTATTTTTATACATTAATAAGACAATTATTTTATCTAAATTCATCTATGACGCATGCCTGGCTTTTTAGTTTGCAAAAATATATATTAAATAACAAATTTGTTCCTCGTTTTATTTGCAGTTTGCATTGGCACGAAGTCCCGTTTGTCTGTGCCTTCGAATCGTGAACATCATTACCGAAATTTACGCGATCGCTACAACAATTGCACCTATGTGGATGGCAATTTGGAGTTGACCTGGTTGCAGGAACCCGATATGGATCTGAGCTTTTTGGAGAACATTCGCGAAGTGACCGGCTACATACTCATCAGTCATGTGGACATACAAACTGTCGTATTTCCAAGGTAATTTGCACAACAATCATTTATGCAATTTTCGACGCACAAGTATTAGTCTACCCACACAGTAGCAAACAAAAAAAAAAAACAAATTGTTCGAGCCATGCCTTTTTAGCTCTCAAATACTAACCATGTTTCAAGTAGTAAAGCTACTTCAATTCACACCAATATCTCGCATTTCACTTCATTTCACTTATTCCAGACTACAAATCATCCGTGGCCGCACTTTGTTCAATCTCAATGTGCAAGATCAACAATATGCCCTGTTCACTGCCTACTCGAAAATGTTCACACTTGAAATGCCTGCACTCAGAGACATACTACAAGGCTCTGTGGGTTTCTTCAATAACTTCAATTTGTGTCACATCAAATTGATCGAATGGAAGGAGATCATCTCGGGTGAGTAGCGACGCTCCGGCGTCTCATACAATTCTAACACACACAAATAATATTGCGCTTTTTTTCAAATTAGGTCCCGATGATCGCTTCACCTATGTGTATAACTTTACGCCACCGGAGCGTCAGTGTCCCAAGTGTCACGAGTCGTGCGAGCGCGGTTGCTGGGGCGAAGGTCCCAACAATTGTCAGAAGTTCAGCAAGATAAATTGTTCGCCACAATGCGCGCAAGGTCGGTGCTTCGGCTCACGTCCGCGCGAGTGCTGCCATCTTTTCTGTGCCGGCGGTTGTACGGGCCCCACACAGCGTGAATGTATTGCTTGTAAGAATTTCTACGATGATGGTGTTTGCAAGGAAGAATGTCCACCTATGCAGAAGTATAATCCTACCAATTATTTGTGGGAGATGAATCCGGAAGGTAAATATGCTTATGGTGCGACCTGTGTGAAGGAATGTCCCGAACATTTGCTGAAGGATAATGGTGCATGTGTGCGTAGTTGTCCGGCAGAGAAGATGGCTAGGGATGGTGAGTGTGTGCCATGTAATGGCCCTTGTCCCAAGACATGTCCCGGCACACCGGCGCTACATTCGGGCAATATTGACACATATAAAGGTTGTACAGTGATCGAAGGTTCAGTACGTGTTTTGGATCAGACCTTCTTTGGCTATCAGCACATTTACTCCAATAACTCGTTTGGTCCACGCTTCATTGCCATGCATCCAGATCGTTTGGAGGTGTTCTCCACAGTAAAAGAAATTACTGGCTATTTGGATATTGAAGGTGCACATCCGGCTTTCAAAAACCTTTCATACTTCCGTAATTTGGAGGTGATACATGGACGTCAGTTAATGGAGAGCTACTTTGCTTCCTTATCGATTGTGCGTTCTTCTCTGGAAAGTTTGGAGCTGCGCAGTTTGAAGCGCATCAACTCTGGCGCCGTGGTTATCCAGCAGAATGACAACATTTGTTTTGTTAGCGACATCGATTGGCAGAAGGTGCAAAAGTCGGTGGACCATGGTGTAGTGATCGCACGGAATCGCAACGAAACCGAATGCAGTAAGTTGAGAAACTCCATCGCGGCTTTGGCTGTTTGCTATCTAAATATTTGTGTGTAATCCAACGCTTTTACTTCTTTTCTATAGAATCGGAGGGCCTTGTATGCTCGGATCAATGCAACAAGTCTGGCTGCTGGGGTAAAGGTCCCGACCAGTGTCTGGAATGCAAGAACTTCGCCTTCAATGGCACCTGCATCGCCGATTGCCATAATATAACAAAGTAAGTCCGCAAATCGCAATACCCAATTGGTCAAACCTTACTTATATTGTGTTTATTTTTCTCGCAAAGCGCTTATCAATTCGACAACAAGACCTGCAAAGAGTGTCACCCCGAGTGTCGCACTTGTTCGGGTCCAGGCGCCGACCACTGCGAAGAGTGTGTGCATGTACGCGATGAGAAACGTTGCGTCACAGTGTGCCCGGACAAAAAATACTCCGATTATGGCATTTGTCGTACTTGTCATGAAACTTGTGAGGGTTGCACGGGACCTAAGGACACAATCGGACCGGGCGGTTGCAAAACATGTAATCTCGCCATCATCAACAGTGATACGACAGTCGAACGTTGTTTGCTTAAGAACGACAAATGTCCGGATGGTTATTATTGGGAATATGTGAATCCCCAAGAACAAGGCAATCTGAAACCATTGGCCGGCAAAGCAATTTGCCGCAAATGTCATCCACGTTGTGAGCTCTGCAATGGCTACGGTTTCCATGAGCAGGTGTGCTCGAAATGCGCCGGTTACAAGCGCGGCGAGCAATGTGAGGACGAATGCCCTCCCGATCATTATGCTGATGAAACCCGTCGTGAGTGCTTCGAATGTCACCCCGAATGCAAGGGTTGCACCGGACCAAGCGCGGAGGATTGCATCGCTTGCCGCAGCTTCAAAGTCTTTGGTTTTGGCGATCCCAATGATAACACAACCATCTTTAACTGCACCTCTAAATGTCCAGCCGAGTATCCATATGTGATTTATCAGTCCACTGATATTGGCACATATTGCTCGGAAGTACCTGGTAAAGGCACTAAACTCACCGCCGGCGTCGACAGCTATATCTTCATCATCGTAGCGTTCATTGTGTTTGTGGTTATGTTTTGCATGTGCATCGTCTGTTATGTCTGTCGTCAGCGCACTAAAGCCGAGAAGGAGGCGGTAAAAATGACACGTGTGCTTAGTGGTTGTGAAGACGCCGAACCGCTGCGACCATCGAATATCTCACCGAATCTATCGAAATTGAGAATCGTCAAGGATGCGGAGTTACGCAAAGGCGGAGTGCTTGGCATGGGCGCATTTGGTCGTGTGTTCAAGGGTGTTTGGGTGCCGGAGGGCGAGAATGTCAAAATACCTGTGGCCATCAAAGAGCTGCTAAAGGCTTCTGGCGCCGAATCCAGCGAAGAATTTCTACGCGAGGCCTATATCATGGCATCGGTTGAACATCCCAATCTGCTAAAGTTACTCGCTGTTTGCATGACGTCACAAATGATGCTGATCACACAGCTTATGCCACTCGGCTGTCTGCTCGATTATGTGCGCAACAATCGCGACAAGATTGGTTCTAAGGCATTGCTTAACTGGTCCACACAAATTGCAAAGGGTATGTCGTACTTGGAGGAGAAGCGACTGGTGCATCGCGATCTTGCAGCACGTAATGTGCTGGTACAAACGCCTTCTATTGTGAAGATCACCGATTTTGGCTTGGCAAAACTGCTTAGCAGTGACTCGAATGAGTACAAAGCGGCTGGCGGTAAGATGCCCATCAAGTGGCTGGCACTGGAGTGCATCAGACATCGTGTCTTCACCAGCAAGTCGGATGTTTGGGCTTTTGGCGTAACCATTTGGGAACTATTGACTTTTGGACAGCGTCCACATGAGAATATACCTGCCAAAGATATACCCGATCTCATCGAAGTTGGTCTGAAATTAGAGCAACCCGCCATTTGTTCGCTCGATATCTATTGCACATTGCTATCCTGTTGGCATTTGGACGCCGAAATGCGTCCATCATTCAAACAGCTGGTGAATGTATTTTCTGAATTTGCACGCGACCCCGGTCGTTATTTGGTCATACCAGGTGACAAATTTACTCGCCTACCCGCCTATACAAGTCAAGATGAGAAGGATCTAATCAGAAAGTTGGCGCCCACAACTGAAGGCCCAGAAGCTATGGTCGAGGCAGAGGACTACTTACAACCAAAGGTGGCGCCCGGGCCCAGTGGTACGGAAGACACGGATGAGGTGCCTAAACTTAATCGTTACTGCAAAGATCCGATGAATAAGAACTCATCGTCTGGTGGTGACGATGAGACCGACTCGAACGCGCGTGAAGTTGGTGTCGGCAACTTGCGACTCGATCTCCCGGTCGACGAGGATGACTATCTTATGCCCACCTGTCAGTCCACCACGCCCAATGGTACAACCGGCAGCAACAACAACACCATCAAAGCAAATGGCCATCCCAACGGTGGTATGGTTATTGGCGGTGGCGGTTACATGGATCTAATCGGTGTGCCCGCAAGCGTTGATAACCCCGAATACCTGCTCAACCCGCAAGCGCTGAGCGTCGACGACGCGCCCATACCCACGCAAACGATCGGCATACCAGTGCTGATGAACCGCAACGGCGGCAACACCGTGCTGACCGGTGGCAATGGCAGCGTGTTAAGCGGCCACCATCACGCACACCACACGCCCACATCGGCGGCGGCAGCTGCGGCGGCGGCGAACACCATAGCCGCTCTAACTGCAATGCACGACATGAATGTGGCAGCCATGGTGGCGGGCAATGGCGGCTCGGAGCCGACCAGCTCGGACCATGAGTACTACAACGACACGCAGCGTGAGTTGCAGCCACTGCATCGCAGCGAGACGCGCGTCTAACCGACAGTGCGTCCGTTGGCCGTCGGTGACTCAGATGTAGCCAAAGCGAATGCGGCACGCCTACAAAGCGAACGGTGGGATGGTCGATGGTGAAGGTAGAGGTAGAGGGAAGCAGAAAAAGACTGCAACACTGCCGACGTGAACTTAACTTGCCACAAGAACTTGCAACGTGCCTCATTTACATACATACATACAACATGCGAGTATGTATGTGTGCCACTACGTAACGTAACTGTAAATACATATTTAAGCAAACACAAAGCGAATGCAGCGAAATCGAGCGACTTTCGAACGCAGCAAAAGCCGCACACACGAAACGAAGCAAAACAAACAGACAAACTAATCATAGCCCACACTACAAATACAATACATACAAATGCCACTTAAAGTCACATACGTAACGGCCTAGGTGCCGTGTATGGACATAGCCCAAGCAAATCCGCTTTTAGCATTAGGCAATTAGCCTTTAACTTACGTACATACATGTATAATCCGTAGTTGATATATAGTACCTAAATTGTTGTTGTATACTGTAGTACTTACCGTTTAAAGCGTGACCAATTGTAAATCTTCAACCAACAGTGCATTTGACTTGAACGAGGATCGGCGTGGCTCGGCAGCGGTTGCCCGCTAAACGCTTGGTGTGTAAAAATTTCAGAAACCGGCTGACCGCCGCTGATCTTCAAGCAAATTAGTTTGTAGCGCATAAGTTAGGCTTTTAAAATAGCTTAGGTTTCGATATATTATTAAAATGATTTATTTTTAAGTAAATTTCGGTTTTATTCATAACCACCTGTGATAACGTAAATTAAGTACGAATACGAAAAAAGGAAAATAAAAAAAAAAATTAGAAAAAAAGAAAAGAGAAACAACACAAATGTACATAAAATAATGAACAAAATGAACAAAAACTTAACAAAATGGCAACAACAACAACAATTACTAATATACATATGTATATATTTATTAAGAAAATTTTTACAAAATACTAACAATAATTATGCAACTTTCGCGTAACGGTAAAAATTAAATTTTTTAAACAAAAAAATTTTTTAAACAAAAAAAACTTATTTATTATTGGCATTCACCACAAATTTTGACAAACCGGTGTTTTATAAGCATATTTTTGAGGGCCTTTTGACACTCGAGTCGAACAATTAATTGTAAAATTTAATTATTTTTTTATTGTTAATAATTATTTTGAGATTGTGAATGTATAATGTTTGCGTAGCGGATTTGTTAAACAATGATCATGAAGCATATATTATTGTAACAATTTTTGTTTGTTAGAATTTTATACTAACTGTACACCTGCTAAGTCTTTGGTATTGACTATGAGTGAGATGTCAGTTTATATTTGAATTTTAATGCTGAAAACAACAATAAAATAACAACAACAACAATTGCAAAAAGTTAGTAAAATAAAAAGGTATTTTATGCTGCTTTGATTTAAATTTTGCTAAAAACACTAAAAATAAAAAATTTATAACTTTCTGGAATTTAGTATTGAAAAAATTAAAAAAAATTTAAATTTTAAACAGCAAAATTTTAGAATTCGTTTTCGTAAAATTAAAAAAATTAACTTAAT